TCTTTCTTGCTCCAGACTAGTTATTTCATTTCAGATAAATATAGAAATCAGAGCATTCTTATCCAAACCTTTCTGGTTGCCATGAAGTGGTTCTTTGTCATTTAAAAAAAAAAAAAAGAAGAAGACAATAACCAACTCTTTGTATTGTGTACTGTAATGTATTTCTTATTTCTGGGAACAGGCCTTTTACACTGTTAAGCCAGGTATCAGCTCTAGGTTTAATGCACCTCTCGCAGGAATGTTTATTTGCTGTGTGCTGTTAGTTATTCTTAAATTGCATTTCATTCTTTAAGGTTTGCTTTCTTTGTTTGATGGCGAGAGGTTTTTTTTTAAAATTTGTCTTAAACTGGTCCTGATTTTCCAAATAGTGCTCTCTGACAATAGAAAGCATAAAGTACAGGATCTCTGGGGCCCCTTTACTTTGTTATTCCTAATGTTTTGGGTAAAAGGATTTAGGCTGAAGCAGGGTCAACCTAATTGTTGTAGTTCAGACGTAATTTTATGTGTGATAAACAGATTGACCCTTGAGTTTTTTAGTTTCTGCCAATCTATTAAGTATATAGCACATCGTAAGACTACACGATTTATTCTTTCAATCTCTTCTTTTTCTCTGAATATATTTATTAAAAGGCCAAGCTATGTCCAGTTTGCACCTGACCGGCCTGACCCCTGGGAATTAACCTGATTTGCTGTCTATAAATATGGGGGTGCAGTTTGCCTGGAGGCTGGGGGAGAGGGGCGAGTGGATGTTATGATGACGGGTCTCTCACTCGTGTAGCACCACGTAAGTGAGGAGAAACACTTTAGTCGGGTGTCAAAACCAGTTCAGAGGAAGCAAGCCTCTCCCACTAATTGGTTTCTAAGTGCTATTTATTCCTCTTGTCACCAGATTCACTCACACCTCTGGGAGCACAGCACTCCTGAGTGTGGCTTCGTCGGGTTTCTTCACACGTCACGGTCCGAGGTGTGTGGCAGCTGCTGTAAGCTTTGGAGCACCGTACCCCCCTCAGGCAGATGCAGTGGGATGTGTGCCATGCCTGTGACGGAAACAGGGCTCCTAGGGCAGTGGGGAGCTCAGGGGCCACTAAGCTTTGCTCCCCTGCAGTGGGGGATTGCTCAGGAGAGCAGAGAGCAGAGCTGAGCCCTCCTGTCCACTCCCAGCAGACAGTTCTCTGTCAAAGTTTGTCCCACCCCTGGAAACATTCGAGGTCTGGTTGGGTAAGTCTCTGAGAAATCTGATCTAGTTAAAGCTGTCCGTGCCCATGGCAGGAGGGTTGGACTAGATGACTTTTAAAGATCTCTTCCAACCCAAATTATTCTATGATTCTATGGTTTCTGGTGCCTTCACTACCAGGAGAGATGGCCAAGGTGACTTTGGCTGTGTGTTCCTGGCCAGTGGCAGCAGTGCTGCGGTTGCAGCAAGCAGGGCTGGCTCCATGCTGGATTGGGGGGGGGCCCAGTCCAGCTGAAAAACAACCTTGGAACATGGTGGGAAACAGTTGTTTTAAAACCAAATCAGGTCCCTGGCCTGGCCAGTTGCACAACTCTCTAAACAGCTTTTACGGCCATGGGACAAGCCGGGAGGTGCAGAGTTGACCCCGTAACAGTCCAGCTCACTTGCCTCCCTCCAAACTAACCATCAGAGCTAGCTCAAGAAAACTTCTTGAGCACCTTTCTCTCTGCATTCCAGAGGCAGCCAGGCTGTTCTTCTCCCATGAGGGCATGGGAGAGGGAGGGGAAGAGTGACAGATTGGTGAAAGGAGCACTATACCTCTGACAGCTTACAAATGTATGGGAAACAAGGTTGGCAAAAGGCAGCATTAGGTGTTCCTGCTGGCAGCTAATGGTGTCCAGTCATGTGGGTTAGTTTAACAAAGACAGATAGTAATGGATTAGCTGTACCAGAGCAAATGTTTTATTGGCAAGTAACCATTTATAACCTACCGTGCTCTTTCACCCAGAATTTTCCTACTAAATTTCCTGACAAACCACTGTCCTAGCACCACCTAGTGTCCAGCCTGGTAATTCAGGTGTCTTTAACAGAATTGGAGCCATTTGCGGGAAAAGAGGAAAATAAAGGTCAGGTTTGGGGTTTTTTTTGGTGGTGGTGGTTTTTTTAAGCTAATGTAGACTCCAACAGTACGTTCGTATAAGTCCACAATTGTAACATCTGAAATAATGCTTTTATTTCCGAATCCTGTCATTTCTTAGTGTGGCTGTCTTCTCTTGGATGTCTGAAATCTCTCTGCATAGAAAAGAGAAGCAAGCAAGAACCCTTCTTGATAGGGATGTTGAAATTTTCACTTTCAGTAAGGGTATCTTGGCTGAATGAATGAGGAGCTCAGAGGTATTAAGAAGGGACTTCATGAAAAATGCAGGTTTTTCAATGCCGGTGGCAAGGCAAAACAGTGGTTAAAATTTTTCTGCTTAAGAGTACTGAATTATTTCCAAGAGGATGGAGAAATGGAAAGCAGAGTGTGCCACAAAGAACAGCGAAATGAGACCATGGTGTGCCTGGCAATACAAGCTGGCGTGTAAAGCAACCGAAATTATTACAAAGTGTCCTATTTCTCATGAAGTCAAATGCACAGCAGGAATGTTGGCACTACCAATTCCAGTCTTGGACAGGCATGTATCATCATAACTTATTGCAAATCACTGGGTTTATTAGTATTGTAGAGCCAGGAGTGTGTGTTTGTATCCCTTCTGTCATACTACAGCTATGGGGTTAAGCCTCACAGCTTGTAAAGTGGAGCAGACTAATTATCATACACAAGAAATTACTAAAATCTGACAGTCACATGTCTCCTGGGAAGGACAGCCCATGACATATCAATGTAGGGAAGAAAATCACTTTGGGAAAAACTCTCCCAAATTTTCAGTGGTTGCTGATGGTGTGATTTCCCCCAGTGCCTAACAGAAATCCCAGACTGCACAAACACTTTTGATTGATGCATCTCAAGGTCCATTGCATGTGTGTGGCTGTCAACACCACGGCTGCCTGCTCATGTTGTCCACTGTGGACACCCCCAGCTGCTCATACGAGGGGCCCTCAAAGCCATGAAGACCCTCAGTACGGTCCCAGCCAGTGCTCTGAGCATTGCTCCATCTTCACTAGAGGACTTTTACCCACATCCACTTCCAATTCCAAAGGGAAGCCCTGCCCAAAGACCTGTCAATTCACACCAGTTTGCCCAGAGATCACCATTCCCTGTCCTACAGGGAGAGGGGGACTTGTTGCAGGAAACACCAGCACAGTTTGCCAAACGCTTGGGGGCCGTGTTTCAAATGATGGCCACTTTTGAAATGGATGAGCAGAATAAATTATTAGAAGAAGCAGAGTTAACTTCTGAAAGGACCCTTCTTTGATAACGGTAGACTTTAGAGAGGAAGAGAAGGAGTCACATGAATAACATGTGTGGCCCTTACAAAGAGATGAGCTTTCTGACGTGAGGTTACCTGAACCCCTGGCAGCTGCTGAACACCCCTGTGCTTGCTGATGTGAAGATACTCCACCTGAAGTTTGTCACTTCACTAATTAGATGATTGTTAAGATTTCGGGTGGGGATTTTTCCTAGCAGATGTTTTTCTTCACTTACCTTTTTTTTTTTAATTATTCCTGGTGTTTTTGCCTATCAAATCACAGACTTCTTCAAAGGAAAAGGAATAAGCAGTTGTCATAACAACAAAGCTCTTCATTACCATGGGAACCTTTGACAGCTTTATTTAAAACATTAAAAAAAAAATTAAAAGAAAAATCCAACCAATTATTTTTATCAGTCTGATTCATGTACTTCTTAAACAGATTACAGCGTATTCTCTAGCAGTTACACTGTGAAGTGAGTATGGCTTGAATATTTATGATAATTTAAACTTTGGGGAAAAAAAATTAGAAAGTGAGTTAGTTGTATTTATGTGCTTCCTGTGGCAAGAGCTCACCTTGACTTTTAATTAGAGGATATGATGTGAAATTTAAAGGTGGAATTTTTCTTTTTTTCTCACACATGTGAAGCAAAATGATCATAGTATGAAATAAAATACTGAGTTAGTCATTCATATGCTCTAGACAATTATGTCTTCCCTTTTTCAAGCCATAAAAAAGCACCCTGAAGGTAGAGGAAGAGTGACTTATTTGTTAAAAGATGGAGGCCCTTTGCAAAATGTAGAACTGACTCCTGGTTTTAACTTTCAGTTCTCTGAAGCTGAAGGAGAGGGGGATGAAAAGATGATCAACTATTCCTGTGCTATCTTACAGAAGAGGAAGATGCAGGAAGGTGTTGCAAATGGCTCCTCCACTCCCTGCAAATAGCCTGTTTAATAGGAGGTGTGATCTGCTGGGGCAAGAGGAGGAGGGACAGAGCTCTGCCTGACCACAGGAAACCGGAGCCAAAGCTTCCTTGTATTTTTCCCACACAAAAGAGGTAAGTAGCTCCTACTACCTCCTGTTTAACTTGTGCACTCAAATTTGAAAGATGCTTCTCTGGATTTCAAATTCTAATTTTTAGTATGAAATAAAGGCTAAATGCCTTTCATCTGTTCAAGTCATTTATAGTATCCTCAACAAAAGGATTTTTTTACAGCAACGTGAAGGGTAATACTGGAATTGTTAAACTCGTGTCCCTTAAAATAAGTTACATTTGTCCTCAGTTTGAACAGTGATGTTTCTTGCTGGGCGTAATCAACAACTTAATTCTCTCCCCAAGCCAAGGAAAGAATGAATATCTTCAGAGACCTATCATTCTGTCTTCCACCCATAAAGGAATATAACAAGCAGCTGTTGCATTTATCCTAAGAAGATGATAGCTGTAAATTGGCTGGTATCACATGCACTTCTCCTGCAGATGCTCATAATTTATCCACCAAGATGATGACTGTGAAAAGCAGGGAAAATCCCAAATATATAAGGTCAGACTCCTCCCCCAAAATAATAGATTACTTAACATCAGTTATGTTGGGACCCTACTATCTCCCAATTTTGGGATGGAGAGGCTTTTATTTACCTTTGAAAAAAGGGCTGGCCACGTGCAGCAGAACTTGTTTTATCCCTGAGAGGAGGTGATGGGGTGCTTTGTGTATTGGTTTCCTCATAGCCTACTTCATCTACCCACCAGCTGGGTTTGACAGCTTCACTCCAGTGGGAAACATGGCTGTGGCTCTCCTGTTACATGAGGCGGTGTAGGGAGTTATTATTTAATTATGACAACTACACACATACAAGGCATTGCATTAGGAAACACACATACACCATCTGCTAGATACCATGATTTAGCTGTAGGCGTACAAGAGCAGAGTTTTATGAGCATTAACTTTATTCTGGGAGACTATAAATGCAGGTCTCCTCACACAGCACTGCCAAGGGAGGCATTCAGGGGAAGAACATTCCTTGACGATATAGTCATTACTGTTTCAGCAAGACGTTAATTTTTACAATAAATAAGTTTAATCTTTTTATGCAGATCGTTTTAGAAAATAAACAGGCCATTTTTATGAGCTGCTTAGAACTGGGGTGGGATGTGATTTGCGGTAACGTCCTGCATGCATTGCAAATTGTAAACAATTTTGAATTCCTGGGGAACTACTGCAGATCATTATTTATTGTGGGTTTTTAAATAACTTATAAATGCAACACTTTTGCATGTTTCGAAGCATTTAGAAGGCAGAAACATTGCCTGGTGGAACTAAATTCCTGATTACTAAAGAAAGAAGACAATTGTAATCCATGGGCTGAGCCTGTGGTTTTAACGCAGCACCTTCCTTTGATTACTTCTGGAGAACTTGTATGGAAAACAGGGCGTGGGGCAGCAGGTGTGGGAGAGCCTGACCACTGGTTTGGAAGTATGAAGTCCCTTGGGTCTCAGTTTGATCTCCTCTGCTAGACACCTTTGTAACTTCAGCAGAGTTTAGCAAACAGCAGGCAACTCAATTCAGGTACCTTTAGCCACTGACCTCACTTGTAGAAAGAAAGCAATACTGCAATTTTGGACTCCTGAGGATATTACTATCCTGTCTTACATGGGCTGTGAATAGTAATGTACAATAGATGTGTGATTCTGATGTGAACTGTGATTAATGTTTGCTGAAGAAATAATGTGGCTGTTGTCTTGAGGATAACAGAGATGTTGTCTTTTTCATGAAGTATTAAAGAAAGAAATGGTATTACTAGCCAGAGTTAGGCATTTAATACCTCAGAACATTAAATGACTAAATCTCAAGAGGGACTGATTTTGCCTTCTGGCCAGCCCTGAGATGAATGCATTTGTATGACAGTCTCTGTTTTGACACTAGATATGATATCATGTCCTGGCCAGGAAGTTTCACAGATTTGGTGAGATTCTGTGAAGGCGATGAACCATTCCAGCCCAAAACCGGCCTGACTTTCAGAAGAGAAGTGTGGCCTCCAGGTTCAGCTGCTACTGTTGACTTTGTGAGAGTTCACTGATCACAGAATCATAGAATGGCTTGGTTTGGGAGGAACCTTAAAGACAATCTAGCTTCAACCCCTCTGCCGTGGGCATGGACACATTTTATTTGATCCGGTTGCTCAATGCCCTGTCCAAAGGGCTCAAAGCCCTGGCCTTGAACATTTCCAGGGATGGGGCATCCACAACTTCTTTGGACAAACCTGTACTAGCACCTCACCACCCTCACAGTAAACCTGCCACGTCTGCCTGCGAGCCTGGACAAGGTTGTGTAACCTTAGCCTTCATTCCTGTTTTGTAAACAAGCTGATTTCATATTGTTAGGAAATCTCATTTTCTCTTTAACTGTGGAAATGATGCTCAGGTGCTGTGGAAAAGGGGATCACATAACTAGGTTAGTGTTGGCTGCATGCAGCCATGTGGTTGTGTCACTCCATCCCAGAAGCATCCTCACTTCAACAGCTACAAGTTTATGTAAAATACTTCCATTCCCATGGCAGAAAAGTTTATTCGGATTGTATTCCTCTTCTTGCTATCCACAAGTAGTTGTGTATCATAATTACAGAATGAAAAATATAATATCTAGTCTGGCTTTTGTAGTGGAGTCCACGGGATTTGCTGTGGCTTCTGACCCTCATTTCATACTTCCTCTGAAGGACACAGGATCCCTAGTGACATCAGGCAGCAGCCCTAGTTTGCTCTAGATACAACACAGGAAGACAGACATCAACAAAGGGGCCATGTTAACAATCCAAGCCAAGAATACAGGGCTTGAATAAATTGGCAGCAAAGTGAAGCTGACCCTAGGGACATACCTGGTACATGCTGAATGAAAAACACTCCTTCCACACACACCCTTGGGCAGAGTCACTCCGGGTTCTTCAAACTGTGCAATTGTCCAAAACACTTACTTATTTTAAAACACTGGCTTTGAAATCAAATTCTAGGCAAAATAACGAGCATATGAAAACATCAGTAGTTTTGGTTGGTAAGGTAGGTAGAGGGGTTTGTGTGTGTTTTTTTTTTAAATCTGTATTATAATGTAAATATAACGTGGATGACAAAGAGAAAAAATTGTTTTTATCACGAAAGCAACTGTAATTCCCAATTAAACAACTCCTAATGAATGTTGGTATTGTTCAGTCACTATGGAGCTACCACTAACATCACACAGTGTGCAGGCCCCCAAAGCTCTTGTTTGTTTCTAAAGCGATCAGGTCACACCACTCAGTTCCCCCCAATTTATTTAAATCTGTTACTTTATTTCAAGTGCTAATTATCTCTCACAACAAACAGAGCCTTGTCAGCTGCAATTACTGGCATTACAATAGATTATCAACAGAAAAGTGTGTCTTGAAGCAAGAAGTGTTGCCTTGGTTACCAACCCAAAATGCTCCTGGATTGCATCTGTAACCACAATTTCTTGATTATACCTGAAATATCTCATGAGTGAGGCCCCTCTTTTCCTCTTAAATTAGTACAGGGCATCATGAGCCAAATTTTACCCTACAGAATTGTGATTTAAATCACAACAGTGCAAGTTTGGAGCCAGTGGTAGATTATCTTAAAGGCAAAAAAGAAAGGGGTTACATTTTCCATGAGTAGAGGAGGCATGCCTTTTGCTCCTGTAGTCAGCGTACACAGGAATAATTCCTCTGCCTTCCAAAGCGTTATGCCTGACTCGCAAATGAGAATGGGCTCTTGCCCAGCAAACCGAAGCAGGTGTGTTTCATAAGGCCCTTCTCCTTCCTACCAAACACTCTGACGCGTGTGAAGAGCTGGCACCAGCTCGGGAACCTTGGACTGGTTGTAAATGCAGTTTTCAGGATAGCTGTGAGATGGGGTTTTGATTTGACTTGGCAGAAGGAGAAATGTCAGCCGTGAAAGAAGCGTGAGTTCAGGCGAGAAGTTGGGAGGTTGGGTACGTCTCTCATCCTGTGTCACACAGCCAAAAGTTAAATGCCTCTGATTGCCTGAGAAATGTGTGCTTGTCTTTCATTCCTGCTTAAAACAGGAGGGAACCAAAGCCGGTGGAAGTACAGTGTCGAAACCTGGTGACCTTGTCAGCTGAACAAGGTTTCAGGACTGCTCAAGGAGGTGTATCAGCGTCCAGGAGGGAAGATAGGAAACGAACTAGGATGCCTAAGTGTTACTTCCATTAAATGTCAAGTATATCCTAAAGTGTAGTCCTACTAAGCACTGTTTATTTGGACCCCCAGCTTGTGACTCATAGTCTTTTATGGGCAGTTTTCTCCTATGTTTCCCAAAAACCTCACGATCAACTTCAGTGCAGAGAGAACAGATCCCTAGCCTTGAAATGGCTGAACAGCTCTTCGCCTGTCTTTATGCCTAAGCCTTATCAAGATCTCCAAACAATATATTCATACATTTTCTTCTCCCAGAGTAGCCTAAAAATTTTGGAAATGCTGACCAGATTGGGTGAAACGTGGAAGTCTCTGCTTTCATTTAAGTTCTGTTTTAAACTGGAGCTTTTCTGATTCCGTGAGTGGCTTGGTGTTAGGACATTTGGTCACAAAGGAGCAGCCCTGAGTCAGTTTCTTCCTCTGCCTGAACCCCTCTCTCTCCTCTCCAGGTATGCACCATGATTGGAGCTGCATTTGCCAACCTACCTTAGGGAGCTGTGCCATAGCACAGGAGAGACCTACAGTGATTTGGGCCAGAGGGAGGGGGGAGACCATAAACAGCTGTGAAGTTATGGCATTTAGTTTAAAAGAAGGAGTCCTGAGCTCCAGTACCAGCTCCTTCTGTATTTTATCTGTGTAAAATCCATGCAATGCAAAATAGATCCCTTTCTAGGAGCATGCACTGTGACCAAATACTCTTGCTATCCGAGGAAAGCTCTCAATAATAATCTGAAGAGCTGTGGTCCCTCTTACTTATGCACCTTCTTCCTCCTCTCTCCCCATCCCAATCCAGGAGAAGCTTCTTGGCTTTTCAGAAGAGCTCCCACCATCACTCCCAGCTGTGTTAGGGCACACAGGAGTGAATCCACACACCTTTATAGCCACAGTGTCACTACTGGGCTGTCACTTGGTGGTGAGGGTAGGACACGGGGATCTGATTTCTGTTTTGGTGAGAAAAGACACGTGCCTGGATGTACTGGATCTTATTAAGTGCTGTAACACTACAAAAACCTATGGGTAGTGATGGCAAGTGAGGGTGAGCCCCATTTTCCTCTTTAAGTTTTTTGTGGATATTACTTTGGTACCTGTCACTCTCTGGTCATCCAACCAGCCACCTAAGAGCCAGGCAGTTGGGGATCTGAGTTACGCAGGTGTGAAAAACTGCACGGTGCTTCTTGATCCTGCTGTAGCCACACAAGCCAGGGTGATTAGTGATGTTTTGCTTAAATCCATTTTGTGAGTATGGACCTTAAACTCTTAACGCGTAGCTTATTTAGTCTGTGTTTATAGTTAAAGTCTCCCCTGCTGAAATGAGTGTAGAAATGTAACCATCCGTGTTTGTACACCCCTTAATATTGCAGTGCCAGTACAATTCACAAAGAGGGAATGTCATTCAGTTCCCATTGTGTGTCACCCACAGAAGCTGTTTGGGATGCCCCAAGTGTGCTGTTTGGATGACAGGATGACGCAGCCATTACCGGGCAGGGTTCACTCCACTGGTCTGGGGGGCTCAGAGGAGGGGCATGATTTCCCAGGAGGGCTGGATCACTGGGAATGCTAAGAATTGTAAATCATCACTGATGGAAATACCACCT